TGTAGTAGGCTTAGGAAATTCGGCAACAGCACGAAGCTTGTCAGGGTCGGGAAGGATGCCGGCTTTCGAGACGACATGACCAAGTATGGTGAGTTGTTTAGCCCCAAAGTGACATTTCTTCAGGTTAAGCTGAAGCCTGGCGTTTGTAAGGCCCTGTAGAATTTTATGCAGACGAGTGAGATGCGAAGTGAAATCGGGTGAAAAGACCACAACGTCATCAAGATAGCACAAGCAGATGTTCCATTTGAGGCCGCGTAAAATGCTGTCCATCATTCGCTCGAATGTGGCAGGCGCATTGCAAAGTCCGAATGGCATTACGGTAAATTCATAGAGACCATCTGGTGTGACGAACGCCGTTTTTGGACGATCAGACTCAGCCATTGGGACCTGCCAATAACCTGAGCGAAGGTCAAGTAAGGAAAAGAATTCTGCACCTTGGAGACAATCGAGAGCGTCGTCTATGCGGGGAAGAGGGTAAACATCTTCCTCGTAATTTCCTTGCAAAGTGGTGGAAGTGTGCTGGGTACGCAAACCTGGAACTTCGAAGCCGGAAGCTGCCCACTGCATCAGCAATGTCTGATCAGACGACCGAGCAAGGCACCCCCCTGCAGAGCACGGCCCAATCTCAACTGGTCATTGTACCTACCACCCTGCGCCAACGGGATCCCCCCTTCTTCAGCGGCACCGAGGACCAAGATGTGGAAGACTGGTTGCAGCTGTTTGAAAAGGTGAGCGCCGCCAACAAGTGGGACGACCCCTCGAAATTGGAGTGCGTCCCATTTTATCTCAAAGATGTCGCCAGCCTGTGGTTCACAAACCACCATACGGAATTTACCACTTGGGCCGCTTTTAAGACCACCCTTGCAGCTGTGTTCGATCGCCCCGCAGTGCGCAAGCAGCGTGCTGAACAGCGCCTATGCGGACGAGCGCAAAGGCAGGGCGAAAACTTCACTAGCTACATTGAAGATGTTATCGATTTATGCCGGCGTTTTAACCCTGAGATGACCGAGCAAGACAAGATCAGGCATATCTTGAAAGGAATAGACGATGATGCCTTTCAAATGTTGCTGGCAAAGGGCCCAAGTACCGTATCCGAACTTGTGACCTTGTGCCAGAACTTGGAAGAGATTCGCAAGCAACGTGCATTAGTTCGAAGGTCAACGACAGCAGACGACTCTCTCGCTTCCCTAGCCGTCAGTGGTGACAGCACCCTGCTGGAGCAGATAAAAGTATATGTACGTGAAGAGGTCGCACGACAGCTTTCGTGTCTCTCGTATCTGCCGACCACCGAAGCACCAACAAACCGTCTAACGCCGACAATCAGACAGGCTATATACAGTATATATATTACGACGTCTGGGTTGAGACAGTGTTTATTCGGCCAAGGGCTCAGCAGCAAACGGGCAGTGCGAGACTGAGCGCGCACACACCCGATGATGATTGTGGTGACACCTAGTGAAGATGAGGACAGGGACCCAGACGGATGATGATGATTATGATAATACATATATGAGAAGAAGCACATAACGAATGCCCACAATATAAATATATATATATATATATATATATATATATATATATATATATATATATATATATATATAGATTGTAATTCAGAGAGCATACATTACGCGTTTGCTAGTTTTTTACAATCCTTTATAGCTGGCACGATTTGTCCAGGCGCCTGCTAGAGGACACGTTATTTTGTTTTACGATACGCTTTTTCTAATGCTGGGCAGACTAAGACGCTCTATTGAATGTTGGAACAATGCGTGGCAACGATGCGGATGACATCGATACCTATACAGTCGACTCTCGTTAATACGAAGTTCACGGGGACCGTGAAAAATTTCGAATTAAGCGGAATTCCAATTAACCACAATGAACGAAAAATACATTTATTTCAAAGAAGTTTATGAGAAAAAAATCTGTGATTGCCGTTTGCTTCTGTTTGCTGAATCTGGCAGCAGAAAGCAAGTCCTGCAGGCTGTATATGTGCCTGAGTGCTTCCTCGGCGTTGCTCTCAGCAGTGAAAAACCGCTGCGCGAGGGCAAGGCCTGCGGCTACATCAGCAGCCCGCGGTAGTGGGTCACTTGCGGCGGCGGCGTCGTCAACCTCAGTTTCGTGACTAGGCTCGCTGGGCTGAACCATCTCCACGATCTCAGCGTCCGACAGCGCACCGCACGTTTCTACCGAACTGTCAGTGGCAATGGGACGAAAGGGACGTCGCCGAAAGCTGGCAGGAGACCATCAACGTCAAGCTCGCGAGTTGCCATAGTAAATGCACGTGGAGATTCGTCGCACGTGGAAACGCTGAGTCCGCACACGACCGTAACGAGATCAACATTGAGGCCCGGAACCGGAACCGCCGGAGCAGCCGCTTCGTGATCTGGGGCGCTGCATGGAACTGCGATGCCATCAGCTGACGCTTTGAGCTGCGGCGCTGTGGTAAACTGCGATGCCCTTGGGTGCCGGTCAGACACGCATTGTTGTTTAGCACTTCGAAAATAGGAAATTTAAACATTACGATTTCCTCCGGGAATTCGATTGAATATAAATTCGAATTAACTGAAATCTCAGACCTCTAGCTTCCGATTACCGAGAATTTCTTCCTGTTGAACTGCATTCAAAACTTACGGGACCCCCACTCCACTTCCAATTAACCGATAATTCCAATGAAGCGACTTAGAATTATCGGGAGTCGATTGTAGTGTGAAAATGTGGTGCAAGCAGCTAGAAGCATCCCGCAGCAGATGCAGACAATGCAGCTGTCACCTAGGAGGCTGTTTTGCAGTGGCAGGGGCTGTGAAGCAAGAAAAGCTGCTGGACGACTTCAAAATCTATGCATTGCAGAGTCGTGCCCAATTTCTGTTAACGGAAATTCCTATGATGCGCAAGGTCACTGCTGCTCGCTGCTTGCAGACAACTGGGCGTGGAACACATTTAGATGTGCTAGCCCTCTTGAATGATCCAGAAGGACTGTAACTTCCACTTAAACAGAGTATACATCCAGATGCACTGTGCCGTTACAGTAGCTTCATCATGCAGTAAAACCTCGTTAATTTGAACTCGGTTATTCTGAAATCCCGCTTAATTCGAAGGATTTCCGCGGTCCCGTATTTTGCAATGTAAGTTTGAGTGGATAATTTGAAGCGGCGGCCGGCACCAGTCTGGTTAATTAGAAAATTTTGGTTGCAATGTGCCAGTTTCAGATCCCGGTTCCGCCGCAAATCCGCCGAAATGACGGCCCTTAATAGCCACAAGGCGTTGAAACGTAGCGATAGTAATGAGTGCTAGCTGAAGCACCCCAGCCTTGCTACTTCTAGCGCAGAAAAAAAAAAAAAGAGAGAGAGAGAGAGAAAAGAAATGGTCTTGTGGTCTATCACGTGTGCCTGAGGAAAAGTGGACGTGCATCACTGCAACACGGCGATGATGTGTGGGCAACATATTGCATGTTTCTAGCAACGTCAGCGGGTCATGGTTCACTTATTTTTTCTGGGATCATAAAACAAATAATAAAGTACAGTTTGGCGGAATTCGCGATGTATTACTTCACAAACTAAGTTCAAAATTTTCAAAGATAGTTTTTCTCAGCCAGAACACATTGCGAGTTTCGTCATACTGGCCATTATTAAATTCCTAATTATACCAGAAAGAATGTGCGAATGGTCGCAGCGAGGTGCAGGCAACATGCTGCCTGCGTGTCACTACTGTGTTGCAGTGAAGATGTTTTGTTTTCTGCAGGCGCAAATTTCAGTTGACCGCGACAGCGTTTTTTGTTTTTTTTTTTTTTTTGTCCCCCCCCCCCCCCCCCCCCCCGGTGGCAGCAGCGAGGTCCAGCGTTCTCCCGTGTTTGCGGCAAAATTAAGACCAGGTATTGCTGGAAAACATAATCATTGGATACGCTAGCTAGCCGGCACAGCAAACGATGAGCACTGATTACTTTGAACAGTTCTAAGCTCCTGGCATCCCGCTTTTTAAATGTTCTGTTAATTCGAAAACTCGCTTAATTCGAAGGTTTCTCGCGGCCCCAGTGACTTCGAATTAACAAGCTCCGACTGTATTGTTATGTGCTTCACCGCATCACACTCTGGTAATGCGCTAAAGCTGCCTTTAACACTCTCCTATGGCCGTAATGAGATTAACTCACAAAAGAGCTGGTTGGAACTGATGTCGTAGGTGTGGGCTTTATTGAGTGCCATTTCGGACCAGAAAGTGTGAAAAAGTTGAACGAATAGTTTCAGCATTTGAAATTTAATATGTTTTTATACGTTGATGTTTACAAGGCAGATTAGTAACTCCAAACTCCAAAGGCGCACACCGTTGTCTGCCGAATAAGTTGGGTGTCCACGGAAGGGGAGAGGTAGAGGAAAGAGCGTTCGTTCACTTTATGTGTAAAGTGTATTTGGCAACACAGTGGTTACACCAAATCATGTAAATTAATACGATTCGGCCTCTGCATTGCCTTATCCTTGATGAAACAACTAGGGAACACTATCCCTACTTCAGTTCTCCATCCTAGCCAAAAAAAAATGCTTTCTTGCTCCCATCTCATAGGAATGTGATTGGGATCCTCTGCAACCTTCTTTCTGTAGTTCCACATCAAAATATATGAAAAATACTAAACAAACATTTGAGAGATATTCGAAAAATATTCTATTGATTTCACTGTCAAACTTTAATATTTGAATTCGCTTTGCACCCCAAATTTTGCTATTCGCACATCTTTAATGGTGAAGTGAATTGGCAGTCTTACTGACTTGATTATATTGAAGCTTAACTGGCATATCAGCTATCATATGGTCATTACTAAACAGCTTTTTATATGCTAATACTTACTGAGAACGTGAATTGTTCAATTCAAGACATACGCTTGTATCCTGAGACAAGCACCACTTTCAACAATGCTGCAAGCTTGCATTATGATGGAAAATGTCTATGGTATTGAAGAATCGACAATTTTGTTGCATTTTATGTGTAACTTTTCATTTTCACTACAGGCGAGTTGGCATCCCATGGAGAATCTCATTGTGGTCGGACGGTATCCAGACAAGAACTTCTGTGCCAATGACACTGTGCGTGGTATTGACCTCTTTGATGGCATCACTGGCGAATCGCTTGGAAAAGTGGAGGGATCTCTGAACATTACCGGCATTTGCTCGGTAAGTCTGGTGCATTCACATTCTGCTGGACAGCAGGTTGCATTCTTCATGGCTATCTGCCCTTTTCTTTTCCATGGTTCTGCTTTCTGGTGTACACTGCCAGATACATTCTGTTATAATGCTGGAACTCTTAGCTCGCCGTTTGTGTTTGTGCTGTTAAGTTGTTAATCACACATTAGTTGAGTGTTTGTCTGAGTGAGTTTAGTTATTAACAGCCACTGCAAGACAATGTATCCAATTAGTTAACAATGTGTAGATGATTCCAATGACTGGGAGAGAAACCATGGTCGTGTTTCTATTTTAACAGAGCGACCAGTGCAGTCACCAACTGATTTTTTGGACCCTCAAAGAGCCGAGCTCACATCCGGGAAATCGGGCAGTCTGAAGAAGCTAGTTCATGGGGGGGGGGGGGGGGGCTGTATTTGTCACGTTGCCATACCAATAGGTCAGTTGAAATCCACTTCACTTCCTGGCAAATTCTGGAATACACACCTTGTCTCTTAGATGGTCTGATATTATCTGCTTTTAAATATCAAACTGTTTTGTGATGTCCTGTTGTCGGTGGCAGTTTTCGACTTTCCTTGTAACTGCAACTTTTTTTTTTTTATCATCACTCGGCTGTAATTTCTTCACTTCAATGTTTTTGTTTTGTTTTTTTCTTGAGGGCGCGAACAAAGGAAGGTGATGTCAGCGCCATCGGTGAAAACTGCGGAAGAAACCACAATTGGTGTGAATGATGATGATCCTGTAGCCATTCCCTTTGCAACGTGCTAGTGTCAATTGACTCCAGGCCAAAGATAGTGAAGAAAAAAAAAAGGATAGGAAAAAAGAACTACAAAAAAGAGGAGAGGAAAAAAAGTTGCTGACAGTTGCTGCCATCTACTGAGCACAATGCTAGCATTGTAGGGACAGAGAAGTAAGCTGCACAGTACTACTTGTCAACGATGTTTGCTGCACTGGCATGTAAGAAGCCTTTTCTAACCCTTTCGTAATCGAAAGAAAAGAAGGAAAAGATACTGTTTGCGGTATGACAGGCGGCAACGCAATGAAAGGCAAGACACAGGAGGAGCAAATTGTTGGGAATGCATGCTCAATCAAGTGGGGCGATCTCACATTGAAAAAGACCACAATAGCGGCTATACTCATCACTGGTTCTCACATGCGACCATTTTTTGTTGATGATGAATATAGTTGTCATTGTTATTTTGTTATAAAATCTCATGACAACAATACTTGCTTGAGAAAGGGTTAATTGTTCGGACAACCATACACAATCTCTATCATCACTCAGCGCATGATTCTTAAGAGGCCATAACCTTTCCGAAATGTTTGTCAATATGTTCCCAAAAGTTTCCATTAAAAGAAGCTTGAAAGTTGGGTTGCACGTATGCAATCATACAGTGAAGAAAATGCATTGAGATGAACGTTAAGTATCAGCAGCAAAACCAACCTTCTATGTTTTTGTTGCAAGCGGTCTCCTGAAAAAAAAAAAAAAACTTTTTGTTATTATTTTACATATTGCAATTACATCCTGTAGTAAGGTTTCAAGGTGATTTGGGAACATTAGATTACACAAGATGACCATGCCACCCTATGGGAATATAGTACTGAGATATACTTGTTCCTGCGATTTATGTGCAGGGTCAGATTTGTTGTAGATTAAGAGCCATGTAATGCGGAAGTGTCATTTTCAGTGTTACCCAGGTTTATTATTCAGTGTTAAAATTAGCTAGGGGGTGTTACAATAGCAAGCTACATCCCCTAATGTTATTGTTACGTTTTGTGCTATATTGTACCAGTAGTTTGTGCATCTCAGCCATTGAGATGCTTGTTAAGCAAGTTGTTAAATAAGGATGCATATATTTGTTTCTTTTCTCTCAACAGCTTGCTGCTTTCAGTTGCACAGGCGAAATTTTGGCCACAGGCACAGGTGAGTGGATTGACTCATTTGTAGACCATGAGCGACATAATTCTGCTTCACGTATTGTTGTTGGAGTATGTGAAGGCGTACAAATTTTAACCCAAGCATTAAAACAATAGCCATGGATATACTACGTAATTTTTCTCTTTCCATATTTTGGAAATCTGTCTAAGTGAACGTCCCATACCTGGTCAGGTTTCCTTATCTGTCAGGTCATTTTAGTATTAGCTAGCATTAGCATATCTGTTCAAGGTTTGGCAGAGACAAAAGGCATCACTGTCAGGTGCTGACAGGATAAATATAAAACTTTATATACAGCTTCCTCATTCTCTGTTTACCCTTGCACTACTTTCATGATATGACCTGTTAATATGCTAAATACCGCCTTTTCTCACATATAACCCACCCTCAAAATAACACACACCCCTAACTTTGAACTCCCTGAAAAAAGAAAAAAATTCTGACGTATGACCTGCATGCTTAGCTTAAAGAAACTTCTGGGAAGTCACAACTGCACAGTCACAATCTCGTTTACAAAAAAACTTCATTTCAAAGTGATTCCTGCAACGTTGGCACTGCCGATTTTTGTTCGTTCAATCATCGCCCGACTCGCCGCTGTCGCTGCTGCAATTCAAGATTACGTCGCCGCTCTCGAAGATGCAATTGTCTTCTATGCCACCCAAGCAATTGCCAATGGCGCACTTTTTGAAACTCTTGCGCACAGAGTCGGCCGGATTCGCCCCCTTCGCATCCACGATCCACTGGCACAGCAGCGCAGTGTCTGACATCCACACGCGCCCCGTCGGTTTGAGGGCGTACAGGCCTCCTTAGGCCATCCACTCGGCTGCTTGACGTGCGCCTTGAACTGCTTATTGAGACGCGTCCAGTGACTGTAGTACGGAAGTCATGCCACCGGATATGATCACGAGGTCGGTGCGGTGGTCAGCAAGGCACGCTTTCACTGCGTCAGTGCAATGGCCTCGAACGAGTCCAACACGAGCGTCGACCGCCGTGCCAACATGGCACCTGGCCTCTTCTCTCACATCGTGCGAAGCCATTCACAGACGAGGTCACCATTTATTCACGCGTTATCTTCGGTTTGCACAACAATCCGTGGTGGCAGTGGAGCGCTGGGCAGCGTTTTGCGCTTGAAGATTGTGCACGGGTGCAGTTTGTTACCGTCTGCCAAAGCGCATATTACTGTGCAGCATAGTTTGGTGTTACCGCCCGTCAGTACACTTACAGATTTCGGGCCCTTTTTCTGCAGAGTTGTGTTCGTGGCCATCTCAAAGTACACGGGCGTTTGATCGCCATTGCCCACCTGGGAGAGCAAGTAGTTGTGCTCCTTCCGCAGCCCGACGACGTAACATTGATAGTTCAACAGCTTATCCTCATAGGTGTTGAGAAGTCGCTGACACACTGTCGTTCACCGCCACATCGAAAATCCGTGCCTCGTCGTGAATCGGTGGAGCCTTTCACAGCTCGCACGAAACTCGCGTGAGATGTTAATCTCGCGAGCCGACCTCAGCGCTTCCATTTGCGCCATCTCCGTTGACACAGCATGGCTGCAGCTCCTCCACCTCTCAATTAATTTGACAAGCTGCATCTCAAGAAGGGGTACGCATAAATCTTTGGGCCGCGATATGCTCGCTTCCCCTTGCGTGCACTCTCGAAGGAGGCCTTCTTTTCTTTTTTTTTTCTTTTTGCCAGTCGCAACAGGAGGACTTGGCGGCGTCGCGCCTCCTTGCAGCAGCAGCTATAATCTCGAGTTTTTCTTTCGCGGCGATAGATTACTGCCAGAACCCGCTCATGTTGTCTCACCAGACACGTGAATAAACACTACATAAACGTGCTACGGAGGGGGTTTGTCTATGGTCTGTGTTGGCTTTGCACAAGACTATGCCGATAGGGATGCGGACTGCACGGCAGGCCATGCATTGCCGTGAAGTCGACCTCTACTTCCAGACTATTCACAGATAACTCGCATCCCACTTTACAGGCGTTTTTTTTTTTTTTTCTCAATTTTCGGTGCTGGTTATATGCGAGAAAATTCAGTGATTTTGCCTAATACGTGCTGGCGCACAGTCCAGTTTTGAGGACAGCTAAGATTCACTTTGGCTGCAGTTTTTATAGATTTTATTTATCTATTATTACCCCTAATGTTTCCAAATACAATACTAAATGTTGTGATATACTAGTATAAGTGTTTAGTAGAGCTTTACTGGTTTCTTGCCTCAGCTTTGTTGAAATTGAACTATTAGAGGTGAGTCTGCAATGACATATTACTATGACTAAATTGGTAATAATTGAGTAATTCATACTGCTGAAATAATCTTGGCAAAGCTAATACTATTTGTCTTAGTTTCCTATACACAGCCTTTAAGTAAGTTCACTCTCATTAAATGGATCTGAAAGGGACCAGGAAAATATGTTCCGTTTAACAGGCACAAAGAACACAAGTACTAAACCAGTCGTATCAGAGACAAGTGTTCTATTTAAACGGCAATTTCGTTATCAGATTTCCATTTAATGAGAATATACTCTATTACCCTAGTAGACAACGCCTGCTATTATGCAGTAAGAATTTACTGCATAACATGAACGCAAGTGCATTTAGCCTGAGACATAAAGTGTGCTGCTGTCAATGACTGGTCATCGTAGTTCACATTATATGTCTTGCATTCTATAACGTTTGTTTTTGCAAGATGCTTGTGACACATCAACTTGTATTTCAACGTTTTGCACAATGCTTGCCTATATCTACACTTTTTGAAACTTGGGCTTTTTCAACTAAGAACGGTTGCTTTGAAAGGCGACGTGCAAGGCCTACGTTAAAGGGGCCCTGCGACACTATTTGAGCACGTATTTTTCATGAGTTCTGCTGGTGCTGTGAAAGGCGCCTATATCGTAGCGCACATGGCAACACCGCAAGCGAGGCGGTTGTAATTTTAATTCACGGGACAAACTACCTTGATTTTAGACTACGGCAACACACATCGGTTATTTTTCTTATCGGAAGTAATGTCGTGTTATGTGTTGTGACGACAAACACCGTTCGCTTTTGATAGGCTTGACACGAGAAATAGCGTGCGATATTCGTATGTTGGTAGCTAGGCCATACGAGTGAATGCTGGAAACAGCAAAAGCCTTTTTTTAACCTTTTTCAGAAAGAAATCATTCCTGTTTCGTAATGATGTATTTTCAAAACAATGAATACCGCACTTAGCCTGCGAACGAGGGTATGGTATCCCGGCAACTGAAAGTGGAAACGAGCGCCGCGTTTTAGCGAGCCAAAAATGCAACAGGTGTTGGGCGCCGGCGTGCCATAGAATGCGTCTTGCGTGCAAGCCAAGAAGTGAACCGACCAAAAGCATATGTGTGAATCTTACACAGTGTGACCGTGGAGCGTCTGCTACCCACGCATGGTTCGCAGTAACCATGCTTACTACATCATCAAAAGAGTGGTAGCGAGGTATTGTGTGAAAGCCACAATGAGGTGACATTTCCGGAATGTCTATGATACGCGCGCAGTGATTGGAAGCGGTTTTTGATGTCAGCAGGTGAGTGAAATGCGAAAAAGAAAGTTTCTCGTCATCATCTGCTCGAGTTTTGATCTTTGAGGACTCGTAACTTCACTTTCTGTGCACCAATTTCGACCGCAATTCTTGTTGCATTCGTCTCAGTAATCATTGCTAACACGCGTTCTGGTGCTGAATAAGGCTGTCCCAAAAGTGCCGCAGGGCCTCTTTTTTAAGCCTTTCTGTCCCGACATCCCATCTTTTCCTTTGGTTTTTTAGTTGTCTGTAGCCACGTTTCAGAGAGATTAAATATATAAAGCATAGCAGCTAATAAAAATGTACGGTGCATTCTTCTTCAGGATAACCTTTGCTGTCACAACGTAGTGCTGAGAGCTTACCTGCAACTTGGCAAAGACCCTTTGGTATCTTTGTCAGAAAGTTGTGTACAGAATTATAGCTAATGGGAATACGAATTGAACACAAGCTATGTAAACTTGCACAATTACTAGGCTTTTTATTTTTTACCATATTGTAAGCTTTAAAAAGTGCTTTGGTAAGCAGACTTGTGATTGAGAGGTCACACTTTCTTTAAGTCATAGTAATAGTGGTTGATCAGATAGCAGCAATGCATGTATTTTACATTTATCATAACAATAAACCATTACGGTGTGCTGCATCCTGTTATTTCGGCTAAATGGCATGAGGTTTGTTCAAACAGTTATGTAGGCTTCAGAGAGTTTTGGAATCTCACATTTTTTTTCCACTATATAAAAGTGAAAATTGACAAGCCTTAATACATTTCTCTCTCTTCCTGCACATTTGTATGTTTTCTTTTCTTAAACAGTTAAAACATATAAATGTTCATAGCGTTGTAGCTTGATATGCTCGAACAGTGCAGTTCAGTAAAGCTATGTTGCTGCATCTTTTCAGGTTTCCACTCAATGATCCTTCAAGCAGTTGTCGAAGAGTGAAAATCTGCTGCCTGAAAATTTGAAATATTTCATTGATGTTGAGCCATCTACTGCCTGGAAATCCATCTCAGGGGATATTTTTATATTTTATTGATGATTTTATTGATTATTGATTTTATTAAGCCATCTGTATGAACTGTAAATTTTTAACATAATGTATATATTACATATTTCTGAACTGCGCTACATCTATGTCTGTTTTATCACCATTTCATTGGAAAGGAAAGTTGAGATTAAATTCTCGCAAACCTACAAAGCACATCTTTTTTTTTATTGTCCTCTGTAGAAAAAAAAAAAGGGATGGGTGGGGGAACTGCCAAACAAGGTGGCAGTAATGCCTATAAAAGTCACTTGAAAGTCCTAAGGCCTAGCCCAATCAAAGGCAGAAATTAACTGCACCATAGGCTTGTGGTTGGGGAAGGGGAGGAAAACAGCACACTTGATATGTCGGGTGCACACGCAATTGTGGCCTGTAGCTGTCCATAAAGGGACCACATTATCGGCTCAAATGAGAGACTCGCACCCACTCTGAGAGTATTTTGTGCTCAAGTGGACCATTCAATGCAGTCCAGGCAGGAAGTCTGCCAGGACAACGGCCAGGATGTAAAAGAGGCCAAAGTAAGGTTCAGCATGCGCGCCGTGTGCCTGGGAAGACGGGCTAGGCGTCCATCGCGAAACTGCCGTTCAGATTGAAGCACTGGGCAGCGGTGATGAGTGGCAGCAGGAGCCACGCGAGCGCGCCGCGAGAAGCGCATACAGCAGGGTAGGGCACAAAAAGCAACAGCGACATAGAGCACGTGAGAGCCCGTGGGCCCTAGCAGGAGGGCCAGAGTGACAGCACCGGCACGAGCGTCCTGCTGTCTGTCGCGGGCATTGTTGGCATGTAAGAATGGCTTCTGTATTCATGGCAAGTTGCATGGCATACCAAAGCGGAGCAGGATCCATCCGGCCCGCTTGCGCGACAAACGAGTAGAGCACACATACAGGCCCAAAGGTCACAAGCACCAAAAGGTCCCCGAGTGCAATGTACTTGAGGCCTAAGCCTCCGGTGTACAGAAACGAGCTGGACAGGCCACCGAAGTAGACGAGTGCCAAGTGCTCCATACGTGCCTCGGAGCAGCCAGCGAGCAGTATGAACCCTATGCAGCCGATGGTGTACAGCAGAGCGCCCAGGTGGACCACTTCGCCTGGAGTGAGACGTCTGTCAACGAGGGTGCGGTCATCGCTGCTCGTGCGACTGTCGACCCACGCATGTAGTCAAAATAGGTGTTGACAACATTACCGGCCGCATGCACTGACAAAGCCGTCACACAGCTGGCCACAAACACAAGTGGGCTGAAGTGGTGCACCACACGGTAGGCAAGGGCGGCGCCCAGTGCAACTGGGCGAGGGAGGCACTGAAGGACCACGGCCGTAGGGCCAGCAGGTAGGCAGAAAGCCGAGACTGCCCGGCCATCGCCCTGCTTGGCGTACCTGCGGAGAGACAAAGACCCTGAGCAATGTTATGTATGCCTAATCGAACAGATTTGGGGAGTTTCACAGCCATATGGAATTAATGAGGAACAGAGTTAAAAAGTTTTATTCAGCTCTGTAAGGAGGAAGTGTTTCAGTACACCACCTAAACGCCATTTCCAGTTGCAGATATTGATATAACTGCCTTGAACTCGATGCCCTCCTGTGAAGTAGGCTGTCGGTAAAATGAATGGCTGCACAAAAGCACTATATTTTGCCACCTGAATATTATGGATTGCTTCACGCAGCATGCCAACCACCCCGAACTGCTTCACATCACATTCCCAACTCATGTTAATTCACATCACATTCCCAGCTCATGTTAACATTGTGGAACTTGGCTATTAATATCGCTAAGTGCCTCTAGTACTGGAAAGATTTAGACAGAGAATGGGAAACATCACGTGGATTTGCTGCAGCCATTCTAGTAAAGAATTGTTACAATTAGTGACATAATTTATCTATTCTATAAAAAGTTCTGTAATGGCTAGGCAATAAGGGGGAGGATGAGTGCAAGATGTGATTTATAACTGCTGCTTACAACAGAAACTTGTGTATGGCTGTTAAGAATACATACAAGAAATTTCCATATGACAATAACCAAAAGATAGTGAACTGAAATATTTCAAGCACATTGACAGAGGAGAATAAACTCTGAATGAAGAGCGCAATGGCCGCACACAACATCCCCCAAAGCTCGAGCAATTGCAAGTGCATTTTACAGGCTTTAGAAATGGCTCGTGCCTCTTCCTATTAAGAGCTTTGATAATGTTGCAGCAACTTTGGTGAACAACACGATGATAGTTGTCTCGAGTGGAACAGCGCCATGAACTAGCTATGCTACAAAATTGATGCACGAGTGAAACGATTTAGACGGACGGCTTAAATTCTCTAGCGGGCCAGGAGGTGGTGTGAGCAAACTGAAAAGACATTGTTGGTGAGACATGCTAAAGACGCACAAGATGAGGACAGAGAAGAGGCTTGTGCACTATTAGTTTTTAACATGAAAATATATAGTTTAGTGAAATGTCCCTTGCAATAACAGACTCGCGAGAGTAAATGCACTCCCCTCCAATATCATATGTCTAGATCAGGTAACGAAGATTTGCTTACCTGAAGATTCTTTGCTGGTGTCACTCATTTGAGCTTGATGGCTATGGTTGCATACTTCTTTCCAGTGTGCAGCTGGTGAAGAACGGCATGGAACTAGAAAAAAATGCACACGAGTAGCACAGCGCCAATTTTTGTAATGAGTACTAAAACAAAAAAAGTAACATTGGGTTATGCTACGGCGGGAATGCGCTCTTATAATTGTACTACCCAATGAACGCCCGGAATGTAAGCGGTGTTTAATTTACAAAAGTGCGCATATTGAAAGGCATCGCAAACATGGTCAATGAAAATGGACGGCATTTCGACCGCAACAGCACAAGCTAGAGCGGGGAAAATGCCGCGGTCATAGCCTCCAACATTTGTCACTCAGCTGCCACAGAAGGAAGTTGCTGTCAAAAGAAAGTATACTTATGACCTTGTTTATATTTCCGCGATTGCTTCGTCAGAATAACCAAATCGCTTTCGGTTCTGCTGGATTTGACAAAAAAAGAAAAACAGATTAATTAAAGAGCATCGCGAATACGTTGCCAGTAACCGATACATATGCTAGCTTTGCGCATCATTTAGCAGCTCAAGCTTATGTCGTGGGCCATACGATCAATATTTCACACGTTTTTGACGAATACATAGCCAGCGTTAAAGAACGTGCTACGGGCAAACGGAGCGGGTTGCTAATTTTCCGCGACATTTCGTCCAAGTTTAATGAGGTATATAGGCGTGTAGCCATTGCACTGGTATCTACTAGTACTTCGTGCGCTGTCGTACTGCCGCAGAACAGGGCAGAAAAGTCGCGGACTTACAGCAAACTTCTGCCGCTTCGGTTGTGTGCGACACGGCACCACTGCAGTGCGTAACACTGCGATCGCTTAATAGCCGCACCGCCCTAAGGCCCTACGCCGTCGGTGGGAGGTATTTCTCCCACCGAAGATCATTCACGGGACTAGCGCAAGAAGCAGTCGTGATGTCTAAGACCGTGTGGAGACATTTCCATCCACCAGCAAACAGGCCTGTCTCTCGCGGAGCTAATGCCCCGTTCAAAGAGTCGTCCGCTCATATTCACGCGAAGCTACCTTTGCGGGCGACGCGTCTACTCGGGTGCGCGCGCGCTCCCCTACTCGTGACGTGACTAGCAGCGGCAAGCGCCGGAGCACGTTGTTCGAGTGATCGATTATGCAGATACAAGAGTGCACTTTTGATACGTCGCTGTTGAGGTCACCGACGCGAAGCCATTCACAGACTGCAAGGGCCCGGTCTGAAAGGCTTACCTTGCAGCGCATAGCCGCTACCGGTAGTCAGTGCTTGTGTCGGCAGGACCCCTGTCGCGCTCGGGTGGTCCACCATTGGACGACCCGAAAATGTAACAGACCGCGGCACATAAGTGAGCACACCGCTGTCCGCGCGTCTACGCGCCGTTTGTCCGCTTAACCCGGACGGTGCCGGATAAAAACGCACCCTGTAGCAAGGAGGTCTCCGAGTCTCCCAGCAAACGCGTCGAGCTGCTCTCCGCGGCTTCCAGCCGCGTGGCTATTTCCACGGAAGACGTCAGTTTTAATTTTCGAGGCAGTGACGTCATAATAAATCGGCCGTGTTTCTTCGTTTTAAAATTTTAGACTTGAAATGGCCGACGCCTGTCCCATGCCTGCCGACGCAGGGGAGTGGGTAACTATCTAACGCGCATTTTGGAGACTAGCAGAGCCGTGAATGGTTACATAATCGTCATGCACTATCCCAGTTGCCGTGCATCATTCGGCATTACTTAATATGTGTAATGAATAAACAGCGTTAAACACGGCGTTAACGCAGCTGGTGCTGTTATCGGACTTTATTTTCGTCGCATGTTTTTCTTTTTGTTTGCAGTTGTTTGCAAAGTTAACTACGGATGACCACTGACCCGTACTAAAGTGAGCCCACAGCTTCTAACTCGCTTTACCCGTATGGTCGCTTTTGCAGCTACAGAACAATTTTTTAGTTTTTTTTTATTTGTCGCTAGACTTGCGTTTTTGAATGTAAAGCTTCTACACTTGAGCAAAAGTGTGTAGATTGTCTTTGTTCTACTTTTGTGCACAGGGGGCAGTACTCTGTGACGTCATAGTGTTTGCGCTCAAAACCTCACATAAACTTACAAAAGGCACTGATGTAAAGTGGAAAAAACGGTTCAATGTGTTGAGGTGTGATAAATTTCTAATGGATTTCTATTTGGTGACTTTTCCTATGTTGAGCCATAGCCTCCTAGATTTCTCTTGCCTGCCGGATTATCGGCGGTCACTTGGGAAGCGGCCGTCGTCGGAACCATAGAGTTTCTCAAAATTAACTAGAGGGCAATCTGGCGCTGCGATCGTTCAACGACCATGGGAATGATGGGTAGTACACACATTTGCCTAGTCTTCGTACTTGCGGGCGGCAAATCGTACTTGCGGCTTTGTTTATTGCTGTGTTTCGGTTTTGTTTAGAAAAAAGATTGAACGCTTTTGAACTTCGTGAGCCAATTTGGAAAGTAAGTATAAAAAAATAAAATGGTGAAGCGCAACCGCTGAACATTTGCTAATACTTGTTTCGTAAGAAAACAGCTCCGAGCCACACGAACACACACGGAGCCAAAGGCAGGCCAGAAGTACGAATATTAGACAAATGTGTGTACTACCCATTATTCCCATGCTCGCTGAAGCGCCGTGCGTTGCAGCTCCCTTAGACACTAGCGCCAGAGTTCCCTCTAGTAAGTATTGTGGGAAACTCTATGGTCGGAACTATGGTGGTGGCACCGCTTAAGTATGGGTGTCTTCAAATAAGGTTATTCGTTTTTTGGAGCGTATATGACACAAAAATAACGTAAAAAAGCTTTAAAAAAGACGTAAAACTAATTAAAGTTAACCCTATGTAAGTGACGCCGCCATAGATGACAGGCGTTTTGCGCTCATTCAACAAGCAAACCTTTCAAAACAGGCATAGCCTTTGAAATTAACAAACCCTAAAATTGCTCATCTCAAGGTTAAGTACAAAAACCTTTGATCCTACGTAGGTAGCGCTGCTATAAATGACGGGCGTTGCGCGCTCCTCCGGCAGGCAAAAAAATCTAGGAGGCTACGGTTGAGCGTACAAAATAACCACATCTGTTAACTATATGTCTTAGGTGTCTAATTTATTGTCCCATAAAAATATTTAGTTGTTACGTTACGTATTATTTTATAAAAAAAAATATAATACAGTACATTAGCTTGGCGTGTTTTCTTGTCCAAGTAGGCAACCCGTACCATGACGTCATGACGTCGACGGCGTTGTTTGTCGCTTGGAGAGGGCACGTTGGATTGCTTTGGGAAGTGTTTTATACCTCGGTTCAACTTCGGTTCCAGGTTTAGTTAGCCATGGCGAATTGGAATCAACTTCAACAGCAGCTCAGACATCCGAACAATCCTGTGGTGTTCTTTGATATTACCATCGGCTCTACGGTGCGTAATTTGCTGGCGTTAGATGGTCTGCTTCGTTGACGCGTCGGGAGAGCATTAAAATAGTGTTTGGTGAAGAAAAGAACTTCTCATGATCATAAAAACGCATTGACGCGGTGTGTGAAGCTTTGTTCGTTTCACCGGTGTCACGCGGTCACTTCTGATCGCGATCGGGCCCGATTCGAACCGAATTTCGTGATCGTGGTTGACGCAAGTTGCAGAATGGAGTCAATCACTGTCGAGAGTTGGTCTCATCGGGCTGAATCGCAACCAGCTACATGCGAGCGTTTCTGTTCATTTACTTGTTTGGACCAAAGTGTTCACAATCTTCCTCTCGGAGGTACCACACGGCACGTACTACCCGCGCGCGCGCAGGGGGAGGGGGTTTGGCATGTTTACTTTAGGTAACCGTTGTTTCCATTTTGCTTTGTCTTTCTTTTTATTCCTTATCAGGAGGTTGGACGGATGAAGATGGAGCTTTTTTCTGACGTAGTTCCCAGGACTACGGAAAACTTCAGGTGATTTTGAGTTGAAAAAAAAGCTTCCGAGAGACGCTGATAGCTGGATGCTATCCGCAGGCAATTTTGCACAGGAGAGTACAAGAAGGACAGCGTGCCGATTGGCTACAAGGGGATCCACGTTTCATCGGTGAGCTCTGTCACAAATGCTGGGAATGCCTCACTGTGCTGACACTTCGATATATGTTTGTGCATAGTGTCATCAAGGACTTCATGATCCAGGGAGGAGATTTCGTCAACGTAAGTCCCGCTAAGCACACTAAAAGTTTATAGTTAACGGGGATTCGTAATAAGAGAAGGTTGGCATGCAAACATGTATGAACAGTAGTGGAACAAAAGGAGAGATTGTCATTTGTGCTGACCTTTCGTTCTACTTGTGTACATGTTTCCATGCCAGACATTCTGTACCATGAACATTGTAATTAGTTCTTCTTTTACCGTAAACTAATACTTCGTTGCTTTCTCACCAGGGTGACGGCATGGGATTAACAAGTATCTACGGTGGTCCTTTTCCTGATGAGAACTTCCAGTTGAAGCACGATGCTGCTGGCTTACTATCTATGGTATATTGCTTTACACCACTGCACATCATGCAGAGGAAAACAATTGTTTACGCTATGAATTGGCATAATCCACACAGCTCTGCCGCATATTCATGCTTTATGTTTTCTTCTCACACAGGCCAACAGTGGCAAGGATACTAACGGCTGTCAGTTTTTCATTACGTGTGCACGATGCGACTTTCTTGATGGGAAACACGTAGTGTTCGGTAAGCATAAGGCTAACCGTACAGAGTGAAAACTAACTTTCGTGCTGGTAATGCAGGTCGTATCCTTGATGGTCTTCTGGTCATGCGAAAGATTGAAAACGTTCCCATTGGACCCAACAACAAGCCGAAGATTCCTGTTATCATCTCGCAGTGTGGTGAAATGTGAGCTTGTGCTGGTCGGGACATGTACATATGTTTTTGAGACTTGGAGAATGTGAAGCTTTGGAAAAGTGTGCTGTTCAAAGGTTAAAGAGGACCCTGCTAGTATTGTATAATATGACAAAAAATATTTGCTGTGAGCTATCGAATACACCACTGTCTCATTGACTCTGGTAATCTGTGGCTGAATGTAAAGTTGTGGATTTTCTTTGCGTGCAGCTGCAACTCTGTTTAGAAGCAGTGAAATTGAAACAATAATAATTTTAATAATAATAATAAGAAGCTTATGCAGTTAGCTGTAAAAAGACACAAGTTTCCTTTATTTTTCGGGGAGCATTAAATTAACAAATAAGCCATGTTTTTTACTTCAAAACCATGTTCAGTGCATTCTTTGTAGGTGCCAAATGAATGTGGAAGATAAGCGAAAGATATCTGGTAAACAATTGACCCTGTTGTGTTTGTTTTCACTACACTTGTCTATTCCACCTTTCTGTTTCTCTTGGCTTCTGTAAACAATTCATGCAGATTCAGATTGAGCCTGCTGAGAGACTGGTGCAGCCAAATCTTGATTAAGCTGCATCTTTCATAAAGTTATTGTAGTTGCATCCGATTATGTTCTAAGCTTGTACATTTTACGTACAAGCCGTATTCGTATGCCGTAGTACATATTCATACGCCACTTAGGGGCGTATGAATATTCAAAAATTTTAAATAATTTATTGAATAGTGTTTGGTTAGACTTAGTGCTCGAATAAAACAGTGAATATTCAAAATAAGAAGTATTTTCCAGTACTTTTTAAATACTCAGCACCTATGAGAAAAAACCAGAGGAGCAAAACTTTAGAACAGTGAGGGAGCAATTTTCTCTCTTTAGTTTCATGATGATATTGCTTTGAACAGGATAGCTTTAAAGAACTCGTTTTGCAGAAATTTTGCCATCAGTGGTTGTAAGCGAAAAATTATCGTGTGACTGAAAAATTGAGAAAGATGCAAATAAAATAAATAATAAAAATTTTGGGTCTCAGAATCAAAATCATTTTATTTTTCACGTCAGACAAAGGAGAGAATACATGTTTAGTATATACAGAAAGAGGTCCATAGTTACAAACTGAATTAATAGGGTCTGATTGGGAATGGAACCCGAATCGTTTGCATGGCGAGCTAGTGTTCTACAATGCAGTCATGCCGCTTTTTTTTGTGGTATTTATTATAATGCATATTTTAAAATTATAACATTTGCTTTGGCCTAGTAATGCATTCACTCGATGACAATTGCATAAGAACTGCACAAGCATGCAAAGGCTACATAATATATACATAGCAAGTCCAAAAAAAAAGGAGCAAAAGTTCTTCAGAAATTTGGTAAGGATGAGCCTCATCAAGATGGGGTGCCAGTCTGGTGTGAAGTCAAGTTCTTTATCAATGTCCTTTAGGTGAAAAGCCATATGCATGAAATGCATACTTGAAGCAGTTGTAGGTTCTGTATTGCAGTCTTGCGTGCACATTTTTCACTGACTGTGCAGTTGCATAAGAAAGAACTTATCAAGGGCACTTCATCAAGACATGTTTTTGAGAGGGTAATGTATGGTATGTGAATTAATGTTAAAATTGATTTTTAACGGTTCATTGAAGGATATTCCAAAACAGAATGGCATCTTTGCAGCTAATATAGCGGTGTTTCTGATGTCTCGGGTATATCGCAAAGATAACACCTAAATAAACAAAAGTACCCTTCTCTTGCAAGCATGGTTCTACTGGCAGTGTATCAGTATGCATTTTATAAAAGAAAGTTTTTGTATTGGGAGAAATACACATTTTCTGGACTCGTTTTAATACATCCCGTCTTGGAAGGTCGGAATATAATGAGTGGTTAGGTGTAGGTGGAAAAAGCATGGATAACAAATCTTTATTAAGATCTCTGCGTGATATCTCTCTTCTGGTGAGCCCCCCTTATGGCGTTCAGGGAGCCTGCAACATCATGTGTTGTACTTCCAAAGTACATATATAACATCATGTGTTCATCCCGTGTAATAGGTGTGCTTAAAAATGCAAAAGAAAAATTGTATCCCTTCTCCAATACTGGACAAAAGAACTCGAGCTAAGCTTGACCTGAGCCTACCTGATTTTCTACTTATCTTTTTTTCACCTCGTGCTATGCTCTCTGCTAGCTTTCTCCGGCAAAGGACTTTCGCCCTCGCGCCTAAGACTTTGCCTAAGACAAGTTGGCGCCGTCATCTTGGGCTGTCAAGTCGATGTTTTCTTGTTTTGTATAATGTAAAGTGGACGGCCATGAAACATCATGTGCACTAACTCGACCGTTTTCATCTGTATGCGTCTACCGGAACACTGTTCGTTTAGTTGTTAAAGATGCGAAACCCAAAGTTTAGCAGTCCAACATGGCGGCACTTCGAACAAGGCTTCGAAAAATTTCGACCACCGAGGGTTCTTTAACTGAATTCACGGGCATCAAGCATGTCCGTCCCACCAAGAATGCACTCGCCGTGCCCGGGATTCGATACAGCGGCCGTCAGGATGACCAGCAGTGAAGCACCACAACATATACACCAGCACCGACGTGCCTACAAGCGCTACAACTATGTACCTACAAACAACAACGACAGCAGGCTTGAAGAAAAAGGTAAGACTCGAATGTGGCCATAAGCATGCGAAGGGTCGGCCTTCAGGGTAGGGGGAGGGGGAGGATTTTCGCAGCACCCATTTCCCGTTAAGGCAATGTACGCACAGCTTTCACGTGACGTCACAGACAGGTTCTCTGCGCTGGGTGCCCTAAGATGGTAACAACCGCGAGGTTTTTATCTCACTAGAGAGGGCCACTGCAATGCGGGATGGATAGACCTTCAGTTGATAGTCTGCGCTTGTCCTTGTCTTTTGCTCGTCCGTGTTTTCTACCGCGTAATATACTTAGATCATTCATCACCAACTGGCCCAGTCGTCCACTTTGATTAGCAAAGGAGGACACAGAGTCGTTCGGTCCCCGCGTTCTTTTGTGATCTCCCTACATCTGTTCGCGAAGCATGCCGAGGGGGAATACAAAGGAATTAGAGGGGCACTGGCACTAATCCGTTGTCACTGTACGAGCTCACCCAGCATATCAAACCAGTTGGGGGCCCTAAGATGGCGGCCGAGAGTGCAAGAGAAAGTACCCCCCTTCCCCCCCCCCCCCCCGGTGCACCCCTCGTGCGCACGCATATGAACGTGGCAACGTAAAATGACAAGTGACCTCAATAAAAAGATAATTCAGTCGCACATATGGCCATCACCAACAAGGCTACGATCGAAAGAGCATTAATACTGGCGCCATATGACGACCCAGGTGAAAATGGTAACTGGGAAAGCGACTGGGTAGCCATTCTCGTATTGTCCAATTTGGCAGAACGCGCTCAGTTAGCAAAAAAAAAAAAAAAAACGGTGAACTGTGACGTCATGGTGCGCTTGACTACGTCGGCACACCGAACCCGCTAGCACATTCCCAGCGTAAATAGAAACTAAATGGACGAAATGCAGAGTAACAGAACTCTTAAACAAACTTGAAAAGTCTGAACGTGCGTACGAACATTCTGACACGAATGCGCAAACGACCTTTCAGGGTCGTCAGGCGCGCGGGGCGCGTTAAACCTCATTCAAGGGCTAACGTGGTTTACCCCCGTATTCAAGAACGCCCCTTCCACGGAGGAAGGAAAAAAGGGTTTTCCTTCCTCCGTGGCCCCTTCAATTCACTTTCACTTGATGATGGATGGATGAATATGGCTGTACCCTTAGATCGAGCGGTGGCTAGCGCCACCAAGCCGTAATACTTAATGACCCAAAAACTAGATTTTTTTTCCTTTTAAAAAGTGAGGCTGAGGATTCGTACTTTGCAGTGAAGCGTTTAATTTTCACTCGTGCCTTGACTTTAGCCACCAATCAGATAACCTCCTTCTAGTTAATTCTACCCGCTTGAAGTCTATTTGCCCTCCCTGTCCCTAAACCCAACTGCTTTGAAAAACTCTGCGCCATCATCCTGAACTATAGGGCGAAGCCCTTTACAGAACATTATCAAGTGTTCGGCAGTTTCTTCTTCCTCTCCACACGCACTGCATAACGCGTGTCTACCCCTTCGTATTTGGCCCCACATGTCTTGGGTCGCAATACTCCCGTCCTGGCCTCAAACAGTAGAGAACTCCTCGAGTATTATCATAGATCTTTTCCTTGGCAATTTCCTGCTTAAACTTCGATAAACCTCTAGTGCGGACTTCTTAATCATGCCAATTATCCACAGCTTCCTTCACCTTCTCTTTAACCGATCATTCTTTTAAGTTTGGCCCCCTGCTGTTTTCTAAGTATTTGCCAGTCAATTTTCTGGTTCGCTTCCTCCATTTTGTATCGACATTCTTCATGTAAAAGTAGCTGAATACCTTCCTAGCCCAACGCTCCTCCCCCATTTCTCTCAATCGCTTCTCAAATTTTATCTTGCTGCCAGCTTCCCTGCCCTAAAATGATGTCCATCCCATATCACCTTGTACTCACTGATTTGGTGTATTCCTGTGAGCTTCTAAGGCAAGCCTACCTATTCCACGTTGCTTGATTTCTAATCTTCTTGAACTTCTGATCTCATGCACAAGACCGCATTGCCGAACGTCAGACCAGGAACCATGACCCCTTTCCATATTCCTCTGACAACATCATACCTATTGTAATTCCACAGTGCCCTGCTTTTCATTACCGCTGCATTCCTGTTACCTTTAGTCGTCACGCATATTTCGTGTTCTCATAGGTACTCGGCCCCATCGCTTATCCATACGCCCAGATATTTGTATTTATCTGTTATCTCTAGCGTAACCTCCTGTATTCTAAGCTCACTACCTTCATTGTCACTAAAAATCATGACTGCTGATTTTTCCTTACTGAATCTGAAATCTAACCTACCTCCCTCATTACCGCAGATGTCCACCAATCTCTGCAAATATTCCTTGTTGTCGGCCATTAGCACTATATCATCTGCGTACATCGGCGAGAAAGCCGATGGGAGCGCCATCTCTAGGCAGGGCAAGTCAGTGCA